AAACACAAAGCTTCATCTTCTTTAGTTTCCAAACTCACCCCACAACTTTCATTTCTACCAACCAAACCCAAATGGGTCGAAGCTCGAGCCTCACCACCGTCGTGGCGGCTATTCTTCTGGTGACATTGGTCGGTTCGGCCTACGCAAGCAACTTCTTTGACGAGTTTGACCTCACTTGGGGTGACCACAGAGGCAAAATCTTCAACGGAGGGACGATGTTGTCTTTGTCATTGGACCGAGTTTCCGGGTCGGGTTTCAAATCCAAGAAAGAGTATTTGTTTGGTCGGATCGATATGCAGCTCAAACTCGTCGCCGGAAACTCTGCCGGCACCGTGACTGCTTACTACGTAACGTTTTCAAACTCACTCTCACTCACACATTGTTACTAAAACTGATCAAGAGACTCTTTCTAAATTTGTCTGAAAATTTTGCAGCTGTCGTCTCAAGGAGCAACACATGACGAGATAGACTTTGAGTTTCTAGGGAACGAAACAGGGAAGCCTTATGTTCTTCACACCAATGTCTTTGCTCAAGGGAAAGGAGACAGAGAGCAACAGTTTTATCTCTGGTTCGATCCCACTAAGAACTTCCACACTTACTCCATTGTCTGGAGACCCCAACACATCATGTAAACATCCATCCATCTCTCTTTCTCCAACACTTAGTGAAAGACGTAGATCTTGACTTTCTTGTCTTGTCTCTGCAGATTCTTGGTGGACAATTTACCCATTAGAGTCTTTAACAATGCAGAGCGGCTCGGTGTTCCTTTCCCAAAGAGCCAACCCATGAGGATCTACTCGAGTCTGTGGAATGCAGATGATTGGGCCACGAGAGGCGGTCTAGTCAAGACTGACTGGTCCAAGGCTCCTTTCACAGCTTACTACAGAGGATTCAACGCAGCGGCTTGCACCGTCTCTTCAGGCTGTTACCCTAAATTCAAGAGTTCACTCGGTGATGGTAAATTGCAAGTGGCAAGCGAGCTCAATGCTTATGGCAGGAGGAGACTCAGATGGGTTCAGAAATACTTCATGATCTATAATTATTGCTCTGATCTCAAAAGGTTCCCTCGTGGATTCCCTCCAGAATGCAAGAGGTCCAGAGTCTGATGAAAACATATTATCTCATATTTCTCTGCTTGTTTGTTGCAATTCTTAAATTCCTCTGTTATCCCATTGTACATTGTCAAGGTCAATAAAGCATTCCTGCTTTCAACATATAAAACAACTGAATCAAACCTTTAAAGAGACTACTAATGTCTTTCACTTTACCAATCAACTATAATCAGAAAAATGTGGAGACATAAGAATCAACAAGTCTAATGCATAGGTACCTCTAATGTTTGTGCTTTGGAGATCATATGATCTAGGGGTCGATTCAGTTCTTTGACCTACAAGTGCCTAGATAAACAAGCTCTATGTGTAAACAAGTCAAACACGCTCAAACCTATATACATGACTTTGTTACAAACTTTGTAACTAGATAACACTAACAGCTAAACTGAGCTAACAAAAGTTTGAGCTTCGTGTTCGTTCCTCTAAATCAGAGAGTGGCGCTTCAACATCGTTAGAGCATGTATTCAAATCTCTAGCTTCACTTGATGCCCCTTTAGTCTCAGTGGCTGGAGCTGTTTCCTCTGTACGATTACTGGTTTCAGGCGTCACTAGAAGAACAATTAAAGACAAAGAAAAATCAGTTTCCAAGTCTACCAGGTTATTTTTTTTTTTCAATACAAGTTATGATTCATGTATACTATATATAATTCACCTAGCCACAGAAGAGAGTAGGATCTAAATGTACCAATGTAACAACTATTACCGACATTGAATAAACCGTGCGCTAAGCATGACTATCAAGAGACTAACCAGGATTACCCTCTGAGTTCTCTTTGAGATATGAAAGCATTCTTCTGTAATTTACAGAACCTGGCACTTTAAATAGCTTGCGTTTGGAGCACAACTGTTTCATGTCAAAACAGGGGAAATGTTAAAGACAGATGGAAAAACAAAATCAAAATTTTGGACGCAACAAGACTGAAGATGATACCGAAATTTTGGTGCCATTAGATGAAGTCATAGTCTTGAAAGGGCTAATGTTTCCATGTAAACTTTGAGCTGATGGTTTAACAAAGTTATTGGTACATTGCCAAACAGGCTCGGTTTCAAGAAGTCGGTTCTTCGTTGCCATCGATTCACCTCTTTGATTCTTTAGATCATTCGCATCAGCATCTCTAGTACCATCTGCAGCTTCCATCAAATAAGGAAGCATTCTTCTATAGCTCACCGAGCCAGGGTTCTTAAAAATCTTTTCCGGTTGTCGAATCTGTCGCAGTACATATCAAAAAGAAGCAATTTAAGCAACCGGTGAAGAGCCAATATTGCAGTTTAAACATGAGGAAAAAACATACCACTTTGCTGCCAAGATTGGTACCAACTTTCTTCCCAGAGACCCCATTGATCTCTTGATTGATAGAACCAGAAGGTTCACCGGTAAACATTTCTGACTCCGGTGGCGTCGTTTGTGGAGATTCCACATTTAGCTCCTTGGTTTGATTTTCCCCTTTCATGTGAAAGTCCCAATCGTTAGAAATCGAACTCGGAGAGAATACGCGTCTGAGACACAGATTCTTCACCGAGACACGAGAACACGACCGAGGATTTTTAGTCTCGAGTTTCCCGGTGAGCGATGACGCATGATGGTGACGAAGATCCGTGACAATGTGAGACACTGAGGATGCAAATCGAACGGAGGAACGATTGCTCTGAGTCCGTAATTTGCTTGCCATAAGGTTCTGGGAGGTAGTGTAACGAACTGAAGAAGACGAAAATCGCATCTTCTTCCCCAAGATATGATCTGATTCCGCCATGGAAGAACTCGCGCCAAAGGCTACAGAGAGAGAGAGTGAGAGTGAGAGAGAGATTGTTATTTTGGCGGGAACAGACGCTGTGGCTTTATGATGTTCGGCGGGAAACTTAAGGATCCAACGGAACCTTTTGGGCTTGGCCCATTTATCCTCTGTGTTTGGTATGATTAGTGTCGGTTTAAGTAAACCGTATTAAAAAGGTTTTTTAAAACCTGTAAATCTGTGAGATTTTTTTTTCCCTACAGTGCTTTTGGAAGAAGGATCGTCATCTTCGCAAAAGCTTCGAGAGTAGTGAAATCGAACCCTGTCATGGATCTTTCTCCAGTGAAGGAAGCTTTGGCCGTTAAATCCTTTGATAAAATCGCTGAAATCTGCGATAATCTCATGCTTCAGGTCCGAAATTTCTCTTTTTTTTTTTGTTGTTCATTAGGGTTTCGTAAAGTGGATTTTGTGGGGTTAATCGTTTGATTTATCGCTTCATAATTTTTATAGGTTGCTTCCGAAGGAATTGATTATCATGATGATTGGCCTTACGCAATCCATCTTCTGGGTTACTTTTACGTCGACGATTGGTGAGTTTAATTTCTTCTTTGATGTTATTGTTTGCGTCGTGAACCTAAAATTAGTTCCTTGATGGTTTCTTTGAATTCTTGTGAATTTTAGCGCTTCATAGTTGTTCTTTGGCATTGATTGCTAGGGGATCTTTCTAAGGTCTAAAGATCTGCTTTTTACATTGTCTTGTTTCTATCCAGTGAATTGAGAAATTACAACTTGGCAAAAATTAGAACTTTAACAGTTTTTTTTCTTTTGTCTTGATAGTGAGTGTAGTATGTTGAAACTATAGAGTTATGGTTGTGGCCGTATGGAGTTGGATTTGTTTTTGATGTTTGTTGTGCTTGTTTGGAAATACTGCAGTGATAGTGCCCGATTCCTCTGGAAAACGATACCTACAGCTATCAAGGAGAGGAAGCCTGAAGTTGTTGCAGCTTGGAAGATTGGTCAGAAGCTGTGGACACACGACTATGCAGGTGTATATGGAGCTATTCGGGGTTATGATTGGAGTCAAGAAGCTAAAGATATGGTTGCTGCCTTCTCAGGTAATTATTCTGTATTTTAAGACTAGTTTGCTAGTATGAATTGGTTTCTTGAACTAAGCTTGCTGATTGCTTATGTAGTTGTGTACTTTATTACTTCGTATTCCTCTCTAGGTTTCGAGCTTTGATCTTCATATTGAGATCGAATAGCTGTGTTATTGTCTTAACTTGTGAGGCCTACTTTAGGATTTTTGTTATGTACAGAACCACCTTTCATCTTATCATTGATCTGAATTTTGTGACGTTGTACCTTTCTCCACATCTAAATGACCACTTACTGACATCAATTGTTCAACACCTGATCTTAATGTCCACTTATCATTTGTTTAAATTTACATTCCATCAGTCTCTAATTCTATATATGAATTGGTTTTGTTGCAGATCTTTACACAAAAAGGATGTTTCAGCTTTTGTTGTCTGCCTACTCCACAATTACCATTCATGATTTAGCTCTTTTCCTTGGGATGACGGAGGATGATGCCACAACTTGTAAGCTTCTTTCTACAATTTCCTTTGCTTTCAAAAGATTAACTACCTCATCCCACATTAATTCTCAGACTTCTACTGAAGTCATTCTTATATTGAAACTAATCACAAAAAAGTTATCTGGGAATGTATCCACTTTTGAAGAATCTCAAAGAGTTTGTGGCAATGTCTTAGCTTAGTGTTTTTGTTGGCATGGATCTAATGACAATCATATATGTTACAGAATCAGAATTCACAATATAATTGTTTTCCTTTTTGCTGGATATACACAGATGTTGTAGAGAATGGATGGACAGTGGATGCAACTTCTCAAATGGTGACTGTGAAGAAAGAAGCTGTTAAAAGAGAGCAAAAGGTGGATTCATCGAAGCTGCAACGCTTGACGGAGTATGTGTTCCACCTTGAACATTAGAACCAAGGACCAGTCTCCTATAAGATAGTGTATTCAGAGAACAAAATTTGTTTTTGAGAGATTTCACAATGACTGATTCTAAGTTGCAAAATATCTTGACTCTGAGTATATGATGAATTACTCCTACCAATTACTCAAACAATATCAGTCAACACAAAAGACGAACTGAAACAAACAAAATATGAAGTTAACATTGTAAGCTAAAAAGGACAGAGCCTAAATAACACGTCTTTACAACAGAATTAGGCCGAAACAAGAGATCATTTTAGCGAGTACAAAGCTAATCATCTCTGAGGAGGATAATCTTCAAACCGAAGAGGGTATTCTTAAAGAAGAGGAGCCCATCTTTCGATACAGTAGATGACAAGCTGAGGTTATCAGAGATTAGTTGGACAATGCACTTGGATGAAGCTACTCCAGAAACTAGCCTCCGAAGCCGGCTTGAAACTGCAATTACATTTCCAGCACTTGTTGTATTGTAGTACAATATTATCTTTTCAAGATTTGGCATTGTCTCCAAGAAATACTTGATCTGCTTCTCCATGTCATCACTAATTTCACCAAATTTCAGTATCTTTATAACCTTCACCGGACTTGTTGCTAAGCAACTGAGCATCTCTTCACGAGGTTTGCAGCACAAGCACACATCTCCACATTTATTCGTTGCTTTGTGGATGAGGCCCTGAAACATACATAGTGAAATATTTCTCAGACTTTGAAAAATGAGTCAACAAATGCTTTTCAAGGGTTTGTTTCATACTTGGAAGATAAGAGTTTCAAGATTTGGAGAATTCTTGAGCAAGCGCGGTACTGACTGCCATCCTACGTTTGGATTACTCTCGATGGTTAAATGAATCAGGTTGTTGAATAGCGGTATTGCATCACAACTGTAAGTAAGTACCTGAAACAAAACCATAACAATTAGATTATCATCACTCAATTGCAGTCACTAACTCAAATCCTTAAGTAATGTTAAAAAAAAGAAAGATGGGAATAATGAAAACAAACCTGAAGAGTGTTGGCAGATAGATAAAGAGTCTTCACATTGCATAGTCGCATTATAAAATCTGTTGCATTGCCAACCATATCATTTTCCCCATAACCTTGATGGTACTGTATCAATAATGGCTTCAACAAGTGAAGATCGATATGGGCTTCAACAAGCGAATCGAAATTCACTTTCGGATACTTGCCTGCAACAGTGTCAGTAAACTTCAAGTAGACAAGATTTGGAGTATCAATAGACACACTCTTTGGAAAATCATATCGCTCTTCCCAGCAAAACGTTAGCCTCTTGAGAGTTGGGACAGACACCGACGCGAAATCCCAAAAGAACCAAGATATATCTTCCAGAACTAAATCCTCAAGCATGGAACAACCAGAAAGAAACTTGGTAAGCCCAATACCATGCTTTTCAAAATGGCTTGACTCAATATAAAGTGTCTTAAGCTTTGGGAGATGAACATCTTCAACATCAATGGTGGGATATTGCCCAAAATATATCTTCAGCCTAACCAGTGTCTTGCTCAAGTAGACTTTTGAAGGAAGCAGAAATTCTGATTCCAAATTCAGGTGTAGATAAAGATCGGATACACCGCGTTCCAACACATTGTGTATCCAAGGAATGATACGGACTGGATCAACGCCATCTCTGATCTTTAGAGAGAACTTGTGTAATGGAGAATTTCCTTGCAAAGCCAACACTCTATCCACAAAATCCATAAAACTTGTGGAAATGTCCGTCTTATTCCGAGGATTTAGATAAACAGAGTCATCCAAATCAAGATTAGGCACAAAAGCAAAGAGATACCGCCATTTTCTCGAAAAAGCCGATGTGGAAGCAGCTTCTTTAGTGGAGAGGAAGGACAGGATATGGCAACTAATGTCTTCCGGTAAACTACTAAGATCCATCTTTTTCAACTACCTGAACATCAAAAAGACACGAGCTCGATTGAACAAGATAACAAAAGCCAAAAGGATTGCAAAGATTTCAACTTTCTCACAATGTTCCTCTACGAGAAAGCTAAGAATCAAAGAGACATGGTAGGTTGAGAAAATAAGAAGAGCAGAAGATGGATTTTTGAAACTTACTTGGAGATAAAAGCATAGCCCACCAAAATGACTCAACTTTTGTAGAAATTTAGGGTTTTTGGCGATTGTATTTGTAGGCAAGAGTGAAGAAGAAAGTGTGAGGTCAAGACCATATTTATCGGCCAACTTGTTGGGCTGTTTTTAGATTTTAAAAATAATAAAATTGAGGAACATATACTCAAGAGCATGGGTAGATGTTCTCCCTGAAGAAACTGTTGTAGCATCAGTTGAAGAACTGTTCTTAGATATTATAAGCTTTAATATTATTTTAATAACTAAGAACTATCTTCTTGTTTTACCGTTGCATATAGGCTAGCCTACTTTTAGTGTCATGTGTCCTAAAATTTTTTGTAAATATATTCTTAACATGATCTTTTGTAAGATTCTGTAAGATATTTTGAACTCCATTAGATTAAATAATATATTTAATCAGTTATACTTTACAAATAAATTACTTAACAGAATTTAATTCAGCGATAATTGTTGTATGTTTGCTGAGACTAATCTCCTATTAAGATAGTGAATTCAAAGACCAAAATTTGTTTTTGAGAGATTTCACAAGAACTGATTCCAAGTTGCAACTATTGGAACTTGTTTTTTGACGAAGTGGTTTTGATCACTTTCCGGTAGATTTTCCGGTGAAAATATTCATCGGAATGACCGGTTCTTGAGCACGATCGTGTAATCGTCGATGCGTGCATTACACGGTAGTGTATTTGAATGTCAAACACGAAGTTCGTTTGAATGAGAAATGGATGTCCGAAGTAGATAGCTTGTAAAGCTTGGAATTTTGACTTAGAATCAAATGACCTACATTGGAAGTTAAAGGAGAAACCCAATTACACATGGACTGTATTTGGGATTTGAGATATAGGAAATGGGCTTATAAGCTAGAAGATTATTCTTATTTTTCTAAGTTTTTTTTATTTAATTTGTTAATTAATCAATAAATATCTCCTTCAATATTAAGTTTTGTAACAACAAAATCAATCAACGACATTAAGGTGGAGTAATTCTTTTGACTTTGAAATTGAGAATCAATTCTCATAAGTGTCGTATCTTCCTCTTAGTTGTGTGTACGTTGAGATTTTGGGTATAAAACGATGGTCATTGTTTCTCATTTAGATGATGGTTCACCAACATAACAATCTCTTTTCTCTTCTTCTTTTCTCTAGTTGAGTATGAGAGTACTCACATAAATAGTGATCGTTAGATTCTGTTCTTCGGTGTCGAAAGAAAGAAAGAAAACCGCAGTTTTATCCTGGAATCTGACCGCTACAAAACCGTTGCACTACGGGGCGTTTAGAGATTTAAGGAGAGAGATCCGAAATCTCGACTCTGCAATTCCTTTTCATCTTTATAATTTAGTATTGTATTTGAGATTTTTTTATTCAATTTTTCTTTCAATTATCGGTTGTCTTGATGTAGAAATTAAGGTTCCTACATCAACATATCTCGACTCTAAGTACTAATATGATAAGCTCAGTTTGGTATTACAATGATCTTCTCGATCTACGTTACTACAAACTGTGATTATGAATGGTAAATAAAAGCGGTCTAATCCGCAAACGAATTTTTCTTCCCCAAGCGCCGCAACCATTTAAACTCATAATATAAGTTGAATTACTTTCTGAAATTTTACAATTTTACAAATCTAAAAAAAAACTGTACCCTTTTATCACCAATTGATCTCCCTCTATATCACTTTTATATAGTATGTAGTAACTACTAATTCAATTCCTTTCAACATCACCATACAATTGATTTTCCAGTATATCAATGGGGTGTTGGCTTCTATTCTCCTAAATATTTAAATTTGTCTTTATTCTGTTTCAATAAAAAAAATCAATAAATTTTTTGTAGTCCTTTTCTATCTATATTCAAAATTTTAAACAATATTAGTTTTAATATTATGTTAAATATTTTATTAAACAACAATTTTTGGTAAAAACAAAAATTTATGACTCTTACAATATACAGTACTTATGATCATAAAAAAATAATTTGGCGATGGCCTTCAAAAACATAAACTAAATTGGTGGCCCTAAACGGTTGTTGGAACGTATTTTATTTTGTATCATTTTACATTTAGTTGAATGTGTTTAATATATCAAATTCTCAGTTTTGTGTCTGTATTAAATTAGCAAACATTCAAAAAAAAAATACTAAAATAACTAACATTTTTTTTAAAAAAAGACAACAACCATTTCCTTAGTATAATACCCAATGACTACACAGTGGTGGTTGGTTGTGGAGGTTGAGAACTGATCAAAAACAAACTGAATTCTTTATCATCTCTCTACTTTGGCTGTTACTCGTCGGTCGTCACAAAGACTAATCTCATCCACCGGTCTTGTAAGAGACAGACAAGTGTAAAGATGGTCAATTAGTTATAATCTTATACCGTTTGTAGTTAAAATAAATTAGCTATATATAAAAGCTTGAGTGTGTTCTTTCTTTTACTAAAACTTACAACATATTCAAAACATCTAAAATGGCCACTTCCATCAATGGTTCCCGTCGTCCACACTACTTGCTTGTAACATTCCCGGCGCAAGGTCACATAAACCCGGCGCTCCAACTAGCCAACCGCCTCATCCACCACGGCGCAACCGTCACATACTCCACTGCCATCTCTGCTCACCGTCGTATGGGCGAGCCACCTTCCACAAAAGGCTTATCCTTCGCTTGGTTCACCGATGGATTTGACGACGGTCTCAAGTCCTTAGAAGACCAGAAAATCTACATGTCCGAACTCAAACGCTGTGGTTCAAACGCCCTAAGAGACATCATCAGAGCCAATCTTGATGCCACAGAGCCTATCACCGGCGTAATCTACTCTGTTCTCGTCCCGTGGGTCTCCACGGTAGCGCGTGAGTTTCACCTCCCTACTACACTTCTCTGGATTGAACCAGCTACTGTACTAGACATCTACTACTACTACTTCAACGCGTCCTACAAACATCTCTTCCACGTTGAACCGATTAAATTACCGAAACTGCCACTAATCACCACCGAAGACCTCCCGTCGTTTCTTCAACCGTCGAAGGCATTACCGTCAGCTCTTGTGACTCTAAAAGAGCACATCGAAGCTCTCGAATCCGAATCAAACCCTAAGATCCTCGTGAACACTTTCTCTGCTTTAGAACACGATGCTTTAACCTCAGTGGAGATACTCAAAATGATTCCAATCGGACCGTTGGTTTCTTCCTCCTCCGACGGTAAAACCGATCTTTTCAAATCTTCCGACGAGGATTACACGAAATGGCTAGATTCGAAGCTCGAGAAGTCAGTGATCTACATTTCCTTAGGCACACACGCCGATGATTTACCGGAGAAACACATGGAAGCGCTTACTCAAGGCGTGTTAGCCACAAACAGACCATTTTTATGGATCGTGAGGGAGAAAAATCCAGAAGAGAAGAAGAAGAATAGGTTTCTTGAATTGATCAGAGGAAGTGATCGAGGATTGGTGGTGGGATGGTGTTCTCAGACGGCGGTTTTGGCGCATTGTGCGGTGGGATGTTTTGTGACTCATTGTGGTTGGAATTCGACGTTGGAGAGTTTAGAGAGTGGTGTTCCGGTGGTTGCGTTCCCGCAGTTTGCTGATCAGTGTACGACGGCGAAGCTTGTGGAGGACACGTGGAGGATTGGAGTGAAGGTGAAGGTTGGAGAGGAAGGAGGTGTGGATGGAGATGAGATTAGACGGTGTTTGGAGAAGGTGATGAGTGGCGGAGAGGAGGCGGAGGAGATGAGAGAGAATGCGGCGAAGTGGAAGGCGATGGCTGTTGATGCGGCGGCGGAAGGTGGACCGTCGGATTTGAATCTTAAGGGTTTTGTGGAAGAGGATGAGTAAGCCTAATGGGTTTTAAATTTTTAAGGATAAAGAAGTTTAAGGATGTATCTTTATCTTATTTGAATAAAGAACAAACATAGTAGAGTAGCAATCAGCTTTTTCTGCTTTTCATTCTCTGTTTATCAGTAATCTAAAAAGCCGTCCGTCGCTTAGACCCTGCGTAGGCTACCGCTTAGGCCTCGCGTAGGCGCTAGACGTTCAGGTGACGCCTACACGACCGCTTCAGCCGCCTAAAACCGCATAAGTTTTGTTTTAGTGTATTTTTCCAATTTCTAACTACATAAATATTTTTGTTGATAATTTCATATTTTCTATTTTTTTAATAGATAGTTTTATATGATTTTTATCTATAATATTATATTTATAATATGTTATGTTGTAAACGTCTAAACCGCCTAATATCACTTAGGTTCCGATTAAGCGTTTTAGGCGCTAGATCACTGCCCGCTTAACGCCTAGCGCTTTCTTGAACATTGCTTGTTATCATGTTTTACTAATATTCATTGTAACCGTTCGTATAATACATTTTATTATTATTTCCAATTTGAATAAAATGTGTTTTACAATTGTGTCTTTTTATCGTAATCTTTCCTTAAATATTTTTAATTTATTTTAATAATCAGAAAAATATCTTCTACATTTATATTTTTTTACAAAGTTGTATCTATTCATTTAGAGTTGTGTGTTTTCACCATTTATTCACATTTTTTCATTCTAAATAGTTGTGTTTTTATTACAAATAATTGTGTTTATTCAAATATTTATGTCTTTTGAACTCTATATATTTGTCATTCATATTTACACGAGTATATTTTTACCTTTCTTATGTGTATAAACTTTTTTGTTGAGGAAAATTTTTTGACAATTCGAAAAGAAAATAATGACACTATATAGGATTTGAGAAGTGATTCTTCAAAATTTGCTGATATGCCACATTCTCTCATGCTTCTTTACAAAGTTATTGACTAAAACAACATTTACTTTTGGTTTGGTTTTGTTCTACTTCGAATCTTTTCTAAAGAAACAAAAAAAGTAAACCAGAAACAAATTGATTTGAACCCAACTCCATTTTCTCAACTGAAATGAGTAAAGAAATGGGTCTACAAAGACTATACACTACTGTTCATAAGTAACCATAGTCCCATTTATTCACTCTTGTGCTCCTCTGATTGATCATCTAGAAGAAAAGAAGGTCTCGTTATTTAACATTACAAAGCAGCCTTTTCTTTGTATCCTTTGAATCCACTTAAAGCTTTCTTTGTAGATAAACCCTTCTTCTCTTTGTTGAAACAATAAACCGGCGCTTGCCATTTCTCATCCTCTAGGACCGCACCAACCTCATATGTCATCACATGAGCTTCCCTCCCTGCAACAAATTCTCATCATTTCAGATGAAATTTCGCTAGAAATATAACCAACATTTCATGTTAAGTAGAGAATCACATGGCGATTGTATTGATCACCTGTATAGAAGATCCATTGCACGGGCCTCTTGGTTATAACATCCTCATAGTACCATATAAAGTCCACTTTCTCCCACACATTGCAAAGAAACCCACTCACATTTTTTTGACCTAGATACTTGGCTCCATCTAGCCAGTTTGGTCGCAGAATTCCAACCTTATGTGACATAAAATTCCATGCATATTCAGCAAGTTGTTACAAAAGCATTACAGGTTCATACAAGACCATTCTAGGTGAATCTGACTATTATCAAAACCAAACAACCAAGCCTTAGCAAAGATGTCCTCATCTCCTGATCCTACAGGTTTCTAATTTACCAAACTCTTCTTGTAAACCAAGAGACCCGGTCCTGCACACTACTACTACTACTACCAAATCCTAATCTCTTGATCCTGGTTAAGGATTTTGCAGAGTATTATCAGTCACCAGAGCCATTTACTAACTTCATGAGATGAGGGTTTATGATACACAACACAAAGAGTATTGGCAACAATCAAAATTTACACGCTGCCTGATACAGTTAACAAGAAAATATGCTACAAAATACTGAAAATTTTTAACACGAATGACCAAGTGAGAGTGTAGTAGTAAGAAACAAGAGAAAACTTGAAACTTTAATCTGCAGAGAGCTCCATTTTCATCAAATGAATATTTGTGAAGTCACCTGACTTTATCTATACATAGAACTCTCTTCTAAAGGATTTCAATTTCCAACTCCAAATGAAAAAAAAAAACAAAACAAACTCAAACCTCTCAATGCGTATCCTAACCAGACAGGCAGACACTATAATAACTTCACAATCTTAAGAGAGCTCTCTGCAGATTGACCAAATCCGTCTCCCAAATTCGAATGTGTTCCCTATTCTACAGCCAAACCGTATTCTGAGATCTATAACAGAGTCATGAACAGAAACTACCAACCTCGAGCTGAGCGGAGCGGCACGATTTTGACTCGTCGAGCGAGTAGATGAAGGAGGTACCATTGTTCCATTCAAGGTCATAGGTAATACCACCGAGCTGCTCCTGTATGATATTGAAATTACGACCGTTGATCCAGTCGTACCAAAGGTCGATCATCGAGAGATCGCCAGAGTAATTCATGAACAGTAACGCGTGGAACTGGTGTGGCCATGGCGTCGGAACCGGCTCATCCGCGGTGGCGATTTTTACGCCGGCGGTTAAAACGATGAAGTTAACGATTACTATGAGTGGTCGTCTAAAAGCCATGTGTGTGACACTGAGGTTTTGGTTCATGCGCCGAAGATAAATCCTCTCTATTTTTTTTCTCTTTAAAAAAATAAAAAATAAATACTCTACTTTAGGCCTGGGCAAAAAAACCGTACCCGAGTACCCGAACCGAAACCGATCCGAAAAAACCGGTTCGGAGCGGGTACGGGTATTAGCTATTTATCCTATTGGGTCTTGTATTGCCGTACCCGTGGGTATAGGGTAAAATCCGATCCGAACCCGATACCCGAACGGGTACCCGATTACCCGAAATTACATATACTTATACATATAAAACTTTTTATATATGTAATATTTGAGCTAAATACATTTATATCTAAATATCCGAGAATAGTTACCAAAAATTAAATGCACTTATATTTAAATATTTAAGACAAAATATATTTATACGCGAGATGCTTGTAAAATTTTTAAATATTTGGAAAAAATTCTGGTTATTCGGATAAATTTTCGGGTGAAACTCGGATATTAGAGTAAAATTGCGGATAAAATTCGGATATTAGGATAAAATTTCGGATAAAATTCGGGTATTTGGTAAAATTTTGGGTATTTGGGTATAAAATACCCGAACCCGATGGGTACCCGATTTTTTTGGGTATTTAGCGGTTCTAAAAATCTAAACCCGAACCGACCTGAACCCGATTAGATCCGAACCGAAACCGAACCGATATTTTAGATTTACCCTATTGGGTCCTAAACTCCTCTACCCGAAAGACCCGTACCCGATCGGGTTTTACCCGAACCCGACCCGCATACCCGAATGCCCAGCCCTACTCTACTTTATAGTACTAGATTTTAATCCGCGGTACACCGCGGAATGATTTAATTTTAAAGTTAGTATACAAATATTTTGTAAATTGTATCTTCTTATAATATATTTATTTATATTATAGTTTATAATTGTTATTAAATAACGGTATACCACGAGTCCACGAGACAATTATTAATAAACGGAGGATTTAATCTGTATTAAGCGGTATATAAATATTGATTCAAATTCGTCCGCCATATAAATCATTTCCGAAATATAACCTGTTCCGTAATTTCTTAACATGTCCCGTAATTTGTTTTTATTTTAAAATTTAATGATTATTTATTATATATAAAATTTTACAAATCATATCATCCTCTAAGACCACGGGACATTATACCACGGGACAAATTTTGGTTTTATACAATCTTTTCTAAATGAGACTGATTTAATATGTCTAATATTTGTGGTATTATAAAAAAAAGATTTAATCCGTATTGAAGCGGCGGATTAATGATATTTTAGTCTTTTTATTATTGTTGATTCAAAAACTCGTCCCGCCAAACCCGTCCGGCAAAAAAAACTCATTTATTTTATTAATGTTCTTATTTATGATATGATTCTGAATCATTGTCTAAATATTTTAATCGATGTAGAACGTTGAACACATATTTTCGTCAATTGGATAATATATGTTTGTTTTAAAAATTTCGAATCACAGTATATGCAAAAAAAAAAATTGATTTTTTTTTACTTTATGTATTATATGATGATTCAAAACAGTTAAAAACAAATCAAACAAAGATGATAGGAGAATCATAATTATAAATTTTAATCAAATCTTCTAAATATCTAAATTATTAAATATGAAATATCTGGTGTATGAGTTGGGTTAAATATAACCCGACCCAACAAATTTTTTGTGAAGGAATTTTAAAAACGGGTCGATATCCGATATACCCGGAAGTATTTTTACCCACCCGTCACCAAAGTGCTACAAAAATACTAGTATAGATACTATAAATTTTAAATAAAATTTTAATCTTCAAAATATATACTTATTTAGAAGAAAGTCTCCGTCCATCATACCAAAAAAAAAAAGAAAGTCTCCGTCCATTACTTAATAAAATGGTGTTTGGCGCAAAAAAAAAAAAAACATACATTACTAAACTCAAGATGTATGTTCTCAATCTAAAATCAGAAATGTATTTTGTACAAAATTCACAATATGTATTGGGGAAAGTGTTTCTTGGTTCAATTTGAACCATCCAACCAACAATCTTTTTAAAAACATAGCACAAAAGAACTATGAGAGTTTCAAAAGAAAACCAAACGCCAAAAAAAAGCTTTTCTTGCATGACTCAATAAACCTACACTACACCATACTCCTACTTAAATACCACATCTCCATTTCCACACCATTCCATCTTAAAATCACAATCTGATCATCACCAACACATTGCAAACCAAACACAAAGACATGTCTCTTCTTGCTTTCTTCCTCTTCACCCTCCTCGTCTTTTCAAGTAAGTCATCTTAAAATTGCATCATGTTTAAATTTTCTATATGTAATCTCACATGATTTGCTTGGTTGATTTACAGGTTCATGTTGTTCCGCGGCTCGGTTCCAAGGGCATAAGTACATGCAGAGGAAAACAATGCTAGATTTGGCTAGCAAGATTGGTATCAACTATGGAAGACAAGGAAACAACCTCCCATCTCCTTACCAATCCATCAACTTCATCAAATCTATCAAAGCTGGTCATGTCAAGCTCTATGACGCTGATCCAGAGAGTCTCACACTCCTCTCTCAAACCAATCTCTACGTCACCATAACAGTCCCTAACCACCAGATCACCTCACTCAGCTCTAACCAAACCACAGCTGACGAATGGGTCAGAACCAATATCCTCCCTTACTATCCACAAACACAAATCCGTTTTGTCCTTGTAGGAAACGAAATACTAAGCTATAATTACGGGAATGTCTCGGCGAACCTTGTACCTGCGATGCGCAAAATCGTGAATTCTCTCAGACTTCATGGGATTCACAATATCAAAGTCGGGACACCTCTTGCCATGGATTCTCTCCGGTCTTCCTTTCCTCCTTCGAACGGAACATTCCGGGAAGAAATCACCGGACCGGTGATGTTACCGTTGCTGAAGTTTCTTAACGGAACAAACTCTTACTTCTTCCTCAATGTTCATCCTTACTTCCGTTGGTCAAAAAATCCCATGAACACTAGTTTGGATTTTGCTCTGTTCCAAGGTAACTCAACCTATACCGATCCTCAAACCGGTTTGGTTTATCGTAATCTTCTAGACCAAATGTTGGATTCGGTTCTCTTTGCTATGACCAAACTCGGTTACCCACATATGCGCCTCGCGATCTCCGAAACCGGATGGCCTAATTTCGGTGACATCGACGAAACCGGTGCCAACATTCTCAACGCGGCTACCTATAACCGGAATCTGATCAAGAAGATGACCGCAAGTCCACCAATCGGTACTCCATCTAGACCCGGTTTACCTATACCTACATTTGTTTTCTCCTTATTCAACGAAAACCAGAAATCCGGTCCGGGAACACAAAGACATTGGGGAATCTTGCATCCCGACGGTTCACCAATCTACGACATTGATTTCACCGGTCAAAAACCCTTAACCGGTTTCAACCCGTTACCTAAACCGACGAACAACGTTCCCTACAAAGGTCAAGTGTGGTGCGTACCAGTCGAAGGCGCCAACGAGACTGAGCTTGAAGAAACTTTGAGGATGGCTTGTGCCCAAAGCAACACCACTTGTGCGGCTTTAGCTCCTGGGAGAGAATGTTACGAGCCGGTCTCTATTTATTGGCATGCAAGCTACGCGCTTAGCTCGTACTGGGCTCAGTTTCGTAACCAAAGCATTCAATGTTACTTCAATGGATTGGCTCATGAGACAACGACCAACCCTGGTGAGCCATTCTTTATATTTTCCAAATTTGGACCAAACTAACCTCTTTGTATAGTCACGGTTCACGTGTTAGAGTAAGGGTATTTCTGGACTTTCCAGTAACTAACAATGTTTTTTTTACAGGAAATGATCGTTGCAAGTTTCCGAGCGTTACTCTGTGAGGACTTGAGGAGGAAGAAGATATATGATTAAAGCTTGATTATTCGTATTACCTATATTGTTCTTTATCTTTTTATTATACCTTTTCTGCTTCATGTTTCGCTATGTTGAGATAAAAAAAAATCAAATAATTAATAAATAGTATTTTTTGTTTTTCCCTTAATGTGATGATTAGTGATTACATTCTCTATTCAGCCAAAGAAAAAAAAAGAAAAAATTCACATTCTCTTTCAGCTATATGTAGTTATAAATTATAAATGGATGAGATATTAATTACTCTAAAGCTGCAAAAAACGTAAACACTAATAACAAATCTAAACTTATTTAAAATGTTAACCAAGATCCAAGAACGTGTGGTCAAATAATTTGTTCAAGTTTGTTAATAACTCGCCATGAAGGACAAATGCAGAAAGATCGAATTTTACCATCTACAAAAATCGTTGTGATTTACTACTTTCTATAAACGTTTTGAATGATAGAATTACCCAACTTTTTTACGATATTGGAATTAGACGATTAGTGTTGGTTTTGGCTAAAATCTAAAATGTTTACTATGTAAAAAAAAACATGATTTAAATCTTTACTATTTTAAGAAAATCGTTTTTTGATTGAAATTTATTTGAAAAATATGAAGAACATGGTTAGATCATCATTCATCAATCGTCACGAAACAAATTCGTTACGACTTAAAAGCTTCCATGTGATTGCATCAACAAACAAATAAGTTAAAATTATTTCATGTGATTGCAGTGAATAGGGGTGGGCATTTAAACCGAACCGACCCAACCCAACCGAACTCAAACTGACCTAAACCGAACCTTAGCTTAGACTCAAACCATTCGGTTGGATTTATTCTCAACCCAAATGGGTCGGTTCGGTTCGGTTTATAACCAAACCGAACCGATAACCCAATGTGTTTATTTGATTAATTAGTTAATTATATTAATATTATTATAAATAACTAAATATGTGTTTATTCTTAATTTTATAATAATTTGAATAAATGTAAATTAGATTTAATTATCTCTAAAACTCTAACCCTAAAAAACTTAGGGTTCTCCTTCTAACTTATAAAGAGTAAAACTCAAAAGAATTTCATATTTTTGTTTTGTTATATTAATTAATTTTTTGAACCGAACTCAAACCGAACCGAAGTAAAACCGAACCGAACCAAACCGAACCAAACATAAACTAACCCAAACACAAACCGAATCAAACTAATTTCGGTTGAGTTTGGTTAGAGTTTTACGAAACCCAAATAAACCGAACCGAACCGAACCCAAACCGAACCCGAAGTTAAACCGAAATGCCCACCCCTAGCAGTGAATAACACCAAAAGTTTTCATACAATGTACGAACAAAACAAAATAAAAACAAAAGTAAAATAAAACACCCACAAAAAGTATAATAATTGAATAAAAAAATCTGGAAGAAAATTAAATCTGGAAGAAAATCTGAAAAAAATCTCTGTACCAAAGGAATTGGTCTTTGTCAGTGAAGATCGTGATCAAGACAAAGACATGGTTGCATTCTTACTTGTTCCGTTCCCTCTTTAAGCCGGTCCCTATCTTCATCTTATCTGCAAATGCAACTTCGTCTTAAACCTGATTATTCCTTCTTCATCGTCTCTTCCTCAACGATGGCTTCGACTTCTTCTTTGGGACCTTCTACACTACTTTCTTACGCTTCTTCTTCTCGTCAATTTCCTGATTTTGGGTTCAGATTGATTTTGGGTCACGAAAGTGTTCGGATTCCATCATTCCAGCGATTTCGGATTCACTGCGAGTCCAAGGCGAGTTCAAATTTCTGCCTTTATCTTTAACAATTGTATCCTCGCTTTTGGGTTTGTGGAATTGGATAATAAAGTTCCTCACTTTAATTTCGAAACTAGTCAATTTGAGGAAGAAGTAATCATATCAATGTATAGCCATGGTACACGATTGAGTATCACTACTAGTTGTTTAGAAAAGTTATCAAAATTGTATCTTTTTGCAATTTCGATGTAAAGTTTGTATCTTTTTGTTGATTCTTTGGGTCCCAACTGTCTCCTATACAAATGGATGAAACGAAGTTATTGCTCTTGCTCACTAAAACTAGGAGTTTTATCCTCAATTGTGTTCACATATATTTATTAGTCTTTTGTCATTGTAGTTTCATATCTAATCCGGTAACATCCGTTTTCGATATGTATGATTCAGGAAAAAGAAGTTAGATCGTCTTCGCCAGTTCTTGAAAGCTCGTCATTATCGGGAGGTTCTGCTTTGCGCTCTAATGAATGGAAGGCTGTTCCTGATATTTGGAGATCATCTGCAGAAAAGTTTGGTGATAGAGTTGCATTGGTTGATCCTTATCATGATCCTCCTTTAAAACTGACGTACAAGGAGGTATGTTTCTTACTAATGCTACTTTTTCATCATTCTTGTTGCAAAGAAGAATAAGGAGAGACCAGTCCTTGAATTTTCCATGAGCACTTGTTCTATGATTTACAAGTTATGTATTAAGGCAAGAAGGGTCTGCTTTTTTATCTTTGTGTTTATAAGTGATCGTAGAAACCTCTTATTCTGTAGTTGGTCTGGTCACTTTGAATAACATATAGTTCTTAATAGCTGGTGAGGGGAGAGCATCTAAGTCTGAATTGCTTGTTAAGATGATGGTGATGAGGGAAGAGCAGCTACTCGACATTCTTGTTCGGTTTCTGTTCCTGATGATAATATAAGTTCTGGATGTTTGGAAGAATCATCTGATGTTTTGACTGCTTTTAAACTTTTAGTCAGGCATGCCATTGCTCTTTGTTATATGTACTTCTGTCTTGGGATTCTAGAACCAAGAATCACTCTGCTCCTGGTTATTGCAACCATGTGTTCTGCAGGGAATTATTATTCTTGTTGTTAGATAGGTCGTTGATAGATTGTGGTTGAAGATATTAATTCTTGGTGAGCAATGGAAAGTTGGAAACCTTCATCTTTTTTATTTAATTTTGCAGTTGGAACAAGAAATTTTGGACTTTGCTGAAGGCTTAAGAGTTCTTGGAGTGAAAGCAGATGAGAAGATTGCACTTTTTGCTGATAACTCCTGTCGATGGCTTGTTTCAGATCAAGGTATGTGGTCAGTGATATGGAACCAAAAAGGGTCTACTTTGGAGGAAAAAGAAAAAATATCACTAAGTAGTAAAACTAAAAAGATCCCACATTGGAAAGGGAAAGGAATTACAAATGGTTTATAAGTCTAAAGGCACCCTCTCCCCCAAGCTAGCTTTTTGGGGTGAGTTCTACCTCTGGACTTTAACGTGTTTGTTAGGCCCAAATCTAAGAGGAACACACAAGAATATTATTACTCACTAGTTTATAAGAAAAGCATGAAGAACTAAGGGGATTGATTTCATTCAAGTTTGTATCAGCAAGCTTCTTAGGGGCTTACCTTGCACATTAACCATCAAACAAACAATCGTTTGAGATGTCTCTGTTCTTTTCTTTTCTTCCTTCTAAGTTAACGTGGTATTCTTTCATCTCAGCTTTGCTTAGCTATTTTAACTTCACTTATTGGTGCAATAATACTAATTTACACTGCTCCTTCATTTCTCCTTCCCTCATCCCAAGTATTGATATCTTTAAGTTCTGTTTATACTATATGTCAGGTATAATGGCCACAGGAGCAGTCAATGTTGTCAGAGGATCTAGGTCCTCTGTTGAAGAGTTACTGCAGATATACCGTCATTCTGAAAGGTATGCCAACACTTCTGATTCTTTTGTTGTTTTGGCGTAAATATCATACCTACTCTTGAGAGGTGTATAGTTGGATTTATGAGAAACACAATATGAATTTATCACGATAGACTGATCTCATTTTTGTACCGTTTGTTTCATCATCTTGTTATTTTGTGTTCATCAAACAGTTTCAGTTGTATATCTTCAGATGCATCTGAATATCTGATGATGATGTTGATTCTAAGAGCAGTATGTTTGGTTTCTTATTGATTGACAGTTTTGGTGCCTGTTTAGGAATAAATTTTCTGATTAGAAACAGCTTCTTGATTTCTTATTTATCTTATTGCACCAGCTCTCCTGTAAAATAGTAACTATTCAAAAGATCATTCGTCCATACGGTGTCTCTCTTTTCAGTTATCTGTGCATTTGTTTGCAATATAGAGATCAATAATTTCAAGTGATCTGTATTGCAGTGTAGCCCTTGTTGTGGATAATTCTGAGTTTTTCAACCGCATTGCTGAGTCGTTTACTTCAAAGGCATCTCTGAGATTTTTGATACTTCTTTGGGGTGAGAAATCATCATTGGTCACACAGGGGATGCAGATTCCAGTTTACACTTATGCAGAAATAAAAAACCAAGGACAGGAGAGTCGTGCAAAATTATCAGGATCTAATGATACCAGTACGTTAAGGCTCTATTTTATCTCCAATGCCCTAAAAGAATAAATGCTAACAGACAGATGACTGCAGGGAGCTATAGAAATCAATTCATCAATTCAGATGATACAGCCGCAATTATGTATACCAGTGGTACCACGGGAAATCCGAAAGGCGTTATGCTTACACATCGGAATCTTTTACACCAGGTTCAACCAATAGGCTCAATACAAGCGTTTATTTGGTGTTTCTGTCTCTTTTAAATTTCAAGTTTTCTTATTACTTTCTGAAAAATATAGGTTTGAGAATCTAATGTTTTCTTAAACACTTTCCAGATAAAACATTTATCCAAATATGTACCTGCTCAAGCTGGGGATAAATTTCTAAGCATGCTGCCGTCATGGCATGCCTATGAACGTGCTAGTGAATACTTCATATTCACTTGTGGAGTTGAGCAAATGTATACTTCTATAAGATACTTAAAGGTTATTCTCATCATCCGATTTGATTTAGTCAGTATTTTCGGCAAGCATGATATTTATATCGAGTTGTGTTGGCCCCTGTTAGTTACTTCACTCATTTCCTGAGAGCAAACCCTTTGTTTTTTCTTAATGATGGCAGGAAAATTCATGAAATATCATTATGCCATAAAAGTTATGAAACACTTGAAAGTGGGAAAATGTGAAATTTGCAGAACATATCAAGTATTTCGTTTAGCGTAGCTTCTTTTGGCTCTAATTCGTTTTTATTTTGTTTTCTTTTGGGATAGGATGATCTAAAGCGGTATCAACCAAACTATA